TGTGGGGTCCTGGAACAAACGACTTTGGCATAGACTCTGCCCCATTCAGCGCCATCGGTACTTGGGCCTAATAATTACACATACTTCTGTCACAATAACACATATATGAACAATATTGATTCATAAAAAATATTGTAAAAAAAACTAGAATATTGAGAGTACTATATTTCGTTGACACAAGTTCAAAGTACAATGCGGCAGGATGATCAGCTTTCTATTTCTCCATTACAATATTCAGCCATTTTGACCCATCTGCAGCTTCAACCTAATTGTTTTACAGAGATGTTCATTGTATGGTAAACATTTCCCCTATTTTAAATGGAACTACATCTAGCTCTCAACTTTACCTGGCTTCTTAATTTAAACATTCACAAAGTCTGGTTGATAATTTCCCCAAGAATCAATTAGTATCAAATATTTGGCTACCTTCACTTCCCTGAGAACAACAAATGGGACTGAACACAGATAAATCAGATCTCTATAATATACTTATGAGGATTAACTTACCTTTCTTTCAATTGTATTTATTTATTTGACAGGGACATTGCACAAAAAATTGTTTGTACAGAACAGATATACATAGTTGCAATTAGGCACATTTTCGCCCCTGGGCAGAGGTAAAGTCTCAGTAGGTTAATAAAGAATTGCTAAATAAAATGGCCTAATCAAAGCACCATTAAAATTCATCATTTTTTGCAAATTGTAATGCAAATGCAATGCAAAAGACCTAATGACAGCTCACCAGATTCACTTACAACCATGTCTTTGGGCTGAATTTAACCCCTAAATTCCAGGCCCCTGCTGCTTTGACAGAGAAGCTAGTTAAAATAGATAGTAGAAGCCACAATTACGTTTTTCCGTTCATAATAATCAGTAACTTGAATTGCTTTTCACTCATTTATTTTTAGCTTTATAATGACATCTTTGCTCTTCTCTTTTGACACTTGATATTTAGACATACTGAACTTCGGATTGACCCCAGTCCCACAATGACTTTTTGCTTGCGATACCCAACACCCCTGCTCCTAATCCAGCCTAACACTTTACACAGGGAAGTATAGGAGGGGGTGGTCTGGAGGAGGGGGCTGAGAGGCATTTCAATACTGGGAACCTCATGACCCACTGGGGACTAATGAGCATTCAGGGGAGCGGCCGAGTTGGCTTGTTGACCCTGGCTTTTCGAATGTGCTCATCCCTGAATAGTGAAGGAAAAGTCCTATAAATGTCACTGTCAAAAGTAATTTAGTGTAATGTGTTTCAAGCTGCCATGTCTTCGTTTAGCCGTTTAGCCATGCGGACGGAGCAGAAATACTTGGTCAATGTTTTGCTGTGAGATTTTGATACATTTTTGCACTTGACGATTCCCATTAAGAAAAAGTGTGGAATAGAAATATTACACAAAACAAATGCAATTGATAAAAGCTTACTCTCTCTTTTTTTTTTTATTCAATCCAGACCCAATCCAGTGTAGGGCATTTGTAGAAGCAGCATCAGTAGAGATAGAAATAATTTCAGTAAATAAATCAACAAATGCAAAGAAATTATAATAAAATACATAGTTTATGTGTGTGTCATTTCAAGTAGTTTGGGTTAGTTTGCCTTCATTAAAACCTTTGGAAAAGTGCTAGACATAAGCTGGAATATCATATTCTAAGGTTGTCAAAATGTACACCTCAATATGATACAGGGATATTTCATTCTAGCACTTGGATAGAATCTTTTCTCATTTTTGGCCAAACAGAAATTGAACGATCAAGTGCTATGTGCTGAAACACAGACCAAGAGGAGGACCAAACAGAAAGTCTGTATGTTATGGTTTAATGGATGACTTTGGCTTAGACAGAGCCACCAGACCTTTAGTCATGCTTAACTATGCAAGAGGACACACAAAGATGATTCATTATTGCTTTTACGGCTTAAGAGTACATAAAAAAGGTCATCAATCCCACTGATTATCTCTGATGATGAGCAGGACGCCTGGGGGCCAATAACAAGCGCTTGAAAGGGCAGTCATTTTCCCATACTTTGTACATGTCTGAAAAAGGCCATGCAAACTTTTGGTCTCATCATACATTTTTATTTCACTCTAGACCAAGACAACTTCAAAATATCACACTCTTGTTTTTCTGTTTCCATAATTCCTCTGCTCTGTGGGACAGAGTGGATCTCTGTTGATTGTAGAGGGCTGTTATACTGGAGCGTGGTCAGTAAGTGTGAGCTGCAGCTGCACCCGCTGGGCTCCCCTCTCTGTCCATGCGGCGTGGGTGGCACTAAAGGCCACGGGCGGTGTGTTTATGTGCTGAGGTTCAGAAGCACGCACACACACACACACATACATAAACCACAGAGGGGCTATTGATTTGGGCTAATAAAGGCAGCAGTGCGGGCGGAGGAGCAGTGCACGTGTGTGTATGAATGAAGTATCAACACATTCCAGGGATTCCACCACTTCCCGAAGATGAATAAAATATCAGGCACTGGACCAAATGCACAAGGCTCCAGTTCCACTCGTTTTGGTTTTAGCCAGTAGCCCTTGTCCCATGCCAAGTGACTGTGCAGTTTGTAACAGAGAATTGATTCAGGGGGTTTTAATCCACTCTCGGGATGATGATGACCAAGCAGTGACGTCAGGCTGAATCACACAGGACAAAGAGTTTTTCTGTCTGCTTCGGACATAACATTCAAACCTCACCCATTCACTGACACCCGATAACACGTGTAAATAACAGTGAGAAAATCAATGTGGTTACAGCCAAAGAACACAAATGCAATGGTTCACTTGAGAGAATAACTAGGATAACTTGTGCTGTGTTTATTTTTGAAATAAACCTTAGTGTTATGCAAAATGTTCACGTAAAAATAACCTTTTTTATATAGCACTTGTATTTATATTCTGGGACACTCAAAGACACATTATTCATTCACACAGTAGCGATAAACTACTTCTGTGGCTACAGCTGCTCTGGGACAAACAGACATAAGCGAGGCTACTAATCAGTGCCATCGACCCCTCTGACCACCACCAATCATCCACTCACACACCACACTCATACTTGGCAAGTAAGGACACAACAGCTTGGCCTAGAGGTCTCTCATCATGGTACTAACCAGACCTTGCCCTGCTTGGCAGCTGAGATGTGTCAGGATCAGGGTTTCACATGTATGGCCACAAGTTAGTCGTGTTTGTTCAGTTTTACATTGACATACTCTGCGTTGTTAAAGTGTGAGCTTGTTTAAGACCAGTTTTAACTAACCTTATTTTTAGTACAGAATGTGAATAGTAGTTATATTTAAACAAATAGAATCAATATATTTGACTGTGGTAAGTAGTGATGTATCCAATTGAGATAAGCGTTGATCTGAGGATGTATTAGAGATATTGTGAGCCTCCATATACTTGACGAGATATGACTTATTTTCACATCAAAATAAAACAATTACCAATGAGTGGAAAAGGGCCCGTTATTTCTTTTATATGAAGTCAGTTTAATTGATTGCAACCAATAACACTAAATTTTATTAATCGCCTGCAGGAAGACCACAGATCCCAACAGGAAGCAGAAGAGGACAGAGAAGGAAGGCAAGTCACTGATGCGCACCCCAACCAGAAAGGGAAAAAAATGTCTTGACCTCTTGATAACTTTGAGCTCTTGAAATACTTGCAGCACCTGTCAATGCAGTTAAATTTAACAGGTTGGTCTTAAGTAAAAGAGACAGTTACCTTCAGCTGCTCTTGGTCACAGGTTCAATCTGAGTGCTGACAAACTGGACAGCTGTAGCAACTGGCATCTCTCCCTGACTTTCTCTCCACTTCTCCAAGGGCCCTTCAAGCCAGAGCGAAAGGTTCACACTAAGACAGTGTTCCCATAGAAACCATGTTTGCTTTTCTCAATGAGCAATTTTGGGACTAGCGGCATTGCATCTGAAATTCAAACTATCTATTCACCGCATTGAGGCGTCTGGAAAAGCAATTGTGTATGTGGGGCAACTTATTCACTGACTCTTGGAGGTGCATTTCCTTACGAGTGAAAAGGCAGAACAGAAAGAGCCTCAAAGTGTCATCTTAGCTGCAAAATCCAAACCTGCTGCATTCCTCCTGCTTTATTAGAGCCGCTGGAAATTAAAGGTCTTTATTTGAAGAGGGAGCTTGGGAGAAGTGTACCTGCCAATCAAAATGTGGAGTGTGGTCGGAGGCTTTCTGCTGCATGCCCAGTCACAGAGCAGTATTCAGGCCCGCCGCTCCCATACCAGGCTGCTGCGCTGGAACAAAGAGGTCTTTCACATTGACCTTGACACAGGGCCACCCCCATCACCACAGGAACCAGGGCAGAGGAATCCACGACTCCTTCATATCAATCTCCCAGGCTTTAGGCAAGGGGGAACCTATAACGCTGGAATAATGGTAATCTTATGGGCCGCTTTTGTTTGTCAAGGTGAAAAACGGTGAGAAATGTGCTGGAAAATGCATACCACGACTTCTTTCAATACAGCTCAAGATAATCACTGAACAGCAAGATACAATAACAGCTTTTATTCACAGGGAAAAAACAAAATTGTTGCCTTTTTGGTTTGTCTTTTTCTTGCAAGTGTACAACCTGAAATAAACCAGGCAAAAAACAAAACCGCAATGTTTACAAAATAAAAATAAGAGGCTTTCACTTTTTACACAAATTCACAACTGTACATCAAGTTTTACAAAGCTTCAAATATACAACGGTCATTCACATTTACAGAAATGGGCTCTGCTACATTTAAACACCTGGGGATTTGTCACTTGCTGAAGAAAAAAACAGTCCAGACACATTCCACACTGCATCGGGGTCGTCTTAAAGTCCAATCGGATGCTGCTTGGCAACACTTGAGGCGCTCGTCTTTTGTCTCCAAAGAGTCGTCAGACAACAGGAGGGACACTTGCCCCGGCTGTCTCTGTCTGGGAACATTTGGTTCAACTTGTCCACTTATCAAGGACCTGTTCCACTTCTTGCTCAGCTCCCAATCTTTCAGTTTGTGTCCACGTGACATGGGTTAGTGCCCTGCTTCTCCGCTTCATTGTAAACCCGAAGGAAGTCTTTGTAGCGAGGAGCGCAGCCCATCCAGGCCTCACCAAAGCGAACTGCCCCAGTGAAAAGAAAGTCCCCCTCTCCAGCCTTAACTCCACACTGAAGAGGCATCTTGATTTGTCCTGTCCAGCTGCGGACCCTCACGCCTCCGGACACAAAGACCTGGGTTTTCTGTCTGTACAGTCGACTGACCTCCACAGTGACAGACCAGTGCTCCTGCTCCTCCTTCACCCTCCTGATGGTGCCCCTGGCCACTGCAAACACACCAGAACAAAACATGACTAAATCTGAACGCCCAAACGATGCACAAACACACACACAGCTGCCGCAATGAAAAACTCTCGACTTACCGATGTCATTTGTGCACACGGCGAGAAGCATGTCCGCATCACTGCAGGGTTGGCAAGCAGCTAGAAAATAAACAAAGAATGTAGTTAAGTTGGGTGCAAACATGTTTTATTACTTAAGCACTTCCTGTAGAAGAAATGACTACTGACAATCACTCTACTCTCGTCTCCAGCTGCACGTGAACAAAGACTGAACAAAACTTTCAGTAATAACCATAGAACATGTGACCAGCATTTTTACATGTTTATTTATCCTCGTGGACAACAAAGTGGTGGTCAGCAGGTGGGCTGAGAGGCACAAGCAAACTGTTGTTCCTCCAGCAGAAGTTTGTGTGATCGGACTTTATGAAATGTGAAGTCTCGTTAATATGCTGGATTTGCCAATGACACAAATACGGTTTGACTAGTACTAATAGTAAGTAAATAAGTTATGTTTATTTATATAGCTCATTTTACAGACCAAGGTCACCCAAAGTATCTGATACATAGGGCATCCACAATGATTCATATGATTAGTACAGGACTAAAGTCATTATCACATGTTCAATCAAATCTAGTTTCAGACCCAAAACAATATATTTTTTGGTAAAGTGAATGCAACGTCATAATACCAGATTTATTTATTCTTGATACCAGTTTTGGCAATAACTTTTGTTTTTTTAATAATAATAGTAATAATAAATCATAGAGTGCTTATTTTGACACTCTAGCACCCTTCACATGGCATTATTCATTCAATCCTACACCGTGGTAATAAACTTCTACTAAAGCCACAGCTTACCTGGGGCAGACTGACAAACTTTTATTACTATGTTTTTGTCAAAAAATATGTATACTCGTAAGTTCCTTCTTGTAGCTGAGATCTGTACAAAATCACCATGACAGTCAGCACCATTAGCTTCAGGCAGGTGAGCTAAAAGTAATCAAGGCCAGAAAATGAATGGCGTTAATTTTGAACCCTAGAGACTTCAAAGCAACTTCCCTATATTTCAGCTTTGTGGATGAGCTGTCAGGCCCGCCCAGTTGTCCAGTGTTTTACGACTGGAGAAAGGACTCTCTAAATGAGTCCATGATGAGTTGACTCAGGTGGCCTAACAAGAACGGCTTTATTATGGCTTCCTGAACATTCTGCAGTTTTACTTCAGCAGCTGAGTGGCACAAGGGCAAACCCCCGTCAGCAAAAAAGAAAACAGGTGGATTTTTTTTTTCTAAAACGCTACAAAAATAGAGAATTTGGATGTGAGGAAAGGTCAACATACTATGGTCAATTAAAACACAGTTGGTAATTCAGCTTGTCAAGTTACTTTATCAAGACACAGCCACACAATCCTTTATTTAAGGATTCAAAATTATAAATATGTCAGTTTCACCATGGAACCAAAATGAGAAAAGGTCTTACAAATAATTATTTTCTAGGATCTAGGAAGACAAAAAATAACCTTGTTGGACTCAAACAAGAAACTATACAACATTTGCAATTGTTTATAGCCTCACAATGTCCGCTATATAGTGCAAACTAGATTTTTTTTCAATGTTGATTCTGGACATATTTGGACATTTGTGATTGAGATTTTGCCTATAACAACACAAACATACAACTCTTAATTTTCCACGGGTCCCTTTAAGCTTGTTTCACACCTTTGCCACCAACACTTGTCAAATCCAAAGACTACAGTCAATAGATTACTAAGAGGCTTAAAGAAGTATTGAAGTCAAAGCAAAAGGGCACTGGTGTCATGGGATTTTTTGAAGCAATGATTTTCGTGCTGAAGAAGATATGCTGGGGGCTTATTTTTAGCCGCCCTGTTTGAAGTGGAGGCTCTGGGGGTGAAGGGGGTGAGCTTGTCGCTGGCCGGCCTGGGGTAGAACACTACGCGCCGCTGCATCACTCCCGAGATCAGGGGTCAACCAGCCATAAGCCGCCTCAGCTTAAGAACAGCTGGAGAAACGGGAGACTTCACAGGGACTAACCTCGCCCTGCTCCTCCCTTTGAACTACGCCTGCCTGCTGCCATAGTCCAGCGCCCAAAATCGACTTGTTTTTTTCTCGGTTCATAAGACAGACATGAAACGGAACCGCAGGAATGGGGACGAGACTAGTGGAGTCAGCACATCTCGGTTTGGCCTGGGCACACGCTGTAGCCGCTCCGCTCCCACCACATCACAGCGGCGGTGGGAGGGGGGAGTGGCCAGCGAGTTGCTGCTCCCCTGAAATGGAGCAGCAACTCGCTAATACCACTCAGAGCACAGAAAAGCCACTTCAAACAGCCGCTAAGAGCCGGGGATGTGTGGAGGACCAGAGGAATGTGAAGGAAAACACAGCGATGATAAATAGACAAGAAAAATTAAGAGGTAGGGAATACGGGGAAGATCCACATTTGACTAAATCGTGCCAAATAGAAGGAAATTAGAAGAAGACAATGAGAGTGCTGTAGCTGCAGCAGCAGGTCAGATGCTCTCTCTGGATGGATAGCTGGAGATTTCAATGTGTAACTTTTGCATCTTCATCAGGCTAGTATACTAATACATTTTGTTTTCTAGTATGCATTAGATGTGCAACTGCCAAAAACTACAGCAGCACTAAAAATAATTGATTTTTATCTGCAGACAAAAAGGGTCATACACAAAATTGTATTTTTGTAATGTAATCCAATGTGTTTAACATATGACAAATAAAGTTAAATGAAATCTGCAAAGGAGAGCCTGCACAAATGAGTGTTTAGTTTAATATGAGCCAAGTGTTGTGGCACATTTGATGTTATCTTAGTGTTCTATTTACTAGAAACATAATGAAAGACCTCTGACGAAGGCGGCAGTCTACCGCCGAAAACATGTCAAGTAAATAATCATCTTTACACTTTTGTCTTATCGGAAGAACCTTCTTAGTCTCAAACATAAAGAAGGCATAATGAACTTTTAAAAACTTTTTACATTTAATGAAAGAACTTTTTTTTACTTTTTAACTACAAGGAGGGTAGAAATGTATACGCACAGGTTCATAAGACACAAGTAAATCAGAAATATATGAGGGCGCCAGACTGTTAATGTTTATAAAGCTCTTCACCAAGTAATGGATTTTGAAGACAATGCGTGCCTGAAAATGTCCCAAAAGAAAAATCTGAAAACGTCGCTTTATGTTTACAGTGATAAGAGAAGAATTCTTAGGTAAAAATTTGTTTTGTATGCATCTTGAATATGATTGTCTTATCATGGGCAAAGGACTAAAAACATTGCAATCTTCCAAACTGCGATTGATTCGATTCTGATAAATCTTAAAGCCATAGAAGGAAGGGAAGAGTAGAGGATAGTTTAAGTGACGGGGAGGGGCCATGACTTTCTAAAAAGGCTCTCCCAACATCTGGATGGATGTACATTCCAGTGTGATGGTGAGCAATTCGATCCAAGCCCAGCGCTCACGGTCGGAAAAATAAGGACGAAAAGGGGGACAAAGATTAAAACGAAGCAATGGATCCTTACGTCCAAGTTTGTGAATCACCCCAGTGTTATCTCAGAGCAAATCACGGTACGGCGTTAAACCAGGGAGCGCGCTTATGTGGGGATCCAAATATACGCCTCTCTATAATTAATCCCCCCTCTGGTCTTGCACACAATGACGCAGGGTATGAATATATGGAGCTGGAGAGTTGTAAAAACACATGTGGGCTCGATGGTGGTGGTGGTGGAAACAAAAACAGCAGCTTGCGGAGTCACGCAGCTTGACCCGGCACAGGTACGCGGCGTGAAAACAAGACAGGGGTTTTTCAGAGGAGGCCTGCAGTTCTGCCCCGTCCAACACACACACACACACACACACACACACACACCATCAAAGGGGGAAAAAGACGGACAGGCGGTTCATTCTCTCTGGATAGTTTTACACTGTTTTTGTGAGATATGCTTCACTCTCAAGGCTTTGTTATCCTGGGCCGTTGCATGGCCAAAAGCGGCATTGAGATATAGGCACAGGCTTAGAAAAATATTTATCCTTGATTTTTCTGGAACGGATTGCATTCAGTCGTATTTCCAACGTACGTTTTATGATTCTGTAAAGAGCACACCAAGGAGGAAGAGGGTAGACTGAAATATGAGCAGCTAAACTAGTGCACATTTATGATTATGGTATACAGGAATAGAAACACCATGTGTTTGTTTATACATGGGATGTGGCGAACCAGCTTTTGAACTGATTATAAAAAGGAGAAATTTGTGTCAATATCAAATCAGCAGAGAGAGACAAAAATAGCACCGTTTTTCATAATCATCACACTGAAAATGAATTTGAACCAAGTGTTATGCAAGTGTTACCTTCAGCTGTGTTCAGGAAAGCCCAATTATTATCTGTTCAATCTTGTCTTGAAAGTCTTTTGGTTGATCGAGTTCACAGTGTCTAATCGCTTTTATTGTTTGTTTGTTTTTTGTACTTTTAACCCTGTTTATTTATGTACAGTTGTCTTGAGCACACTGGGTACTTTTGCAAATGTATTCCAATGTGGTTTTACTTGCAAATCAGATCCAGATTCACATGATTCAGATTCATTGTATGAGCCCAACAAAAGGCATTTACGATAAGATATACGTTATTGAGCTCACAACGGAGAAATTCAGTTACATTTGTGTGCAAGTCCAACCAGCACTGAACTGATTCTTGAGCCACCTGATCAGCACATTTTCCCGATTGAACAGAATCTATGGTTTGCTTAGATTTCATTTAAAGATCATAATAACATGTTACTGAGCCATTTTCCATTTGGATGTAAGAATTACTATTGCAGCAGTGTTTAATAGAATAGGGCTGGTTGAGGACTGTATGCCTTTGGACTTGAGTTTCCAATTTGCCTGTCATCAGAAAGCAGATGAAGTCAAGCACTCTAAAATTAGAGGTTCCACTCTTGCATCACAAACGACAAAACCAACTTTCATTCTATCCCAGAAATAATAAAACACACTTGTATATATGTCTTACCATTGAGTGGATGTGCGTCTGGTCCCAGCCTCTCGTTGACCAGCTCGTACTGAAAGGACGTTGCCCGACGGCTTATGTCCATGTGTGGGACTGCCTCGATAAATAGCGCCCCCTCTTGGATATTGAAACAGTGGACTTTGCCTTGGACCTGATCCTGTTCTTGGAGTAACAGGCGCAGTTTCCCGGCCCGGTCCAGGTAAATGTTGGCGCCGCTGGATTCGGAATAGGTTTTGATGCAGACGGACAGTTTGGCCACAGCGGGAGAGACGGTGTTGGGGCTGAAGTTGACGATGATGGCTCCTGTGGGATAGAGCCACTCCAGAGAGCCCTGTGAGCAGCGCAGATACACCTGCTCCACATCCCGCGTGTGACCTTCATGAGTCAAACCACTGAAAAAAAGAAAGAGTTTAACTTAAAATGAGACCTTCGACATAAGCAACAGTTAAAGCCAGAATTAAGCTTGACTAGAAAAGTGCCCTAATTCACTGCGCATCAGGGAGACAAGTGCAAGTTATCTCCAAATGATCCTTTTCATAATATATAACTTAATCTGTCACAAGTTCACAGGATTTTAGGCAAAAATATATAATACAATATAATACGCAGTACATAGTAAGGGCATGTCAATATCTCATTAAGAGGCCACAAAGACATCAATCCACTAAACAACTACATAATAGATTATATATAGTTTATTGATAAATGGTATATATAATATCCTATACTAACTGAACATACTTTTACAACTGCACATAAGTCCTTTTGTCTTTACAAGGGGCAGGAATGAATGGAAGGAGAAAAACTTAAACCAACACCACATTTCAAGGTTTCTAAGTTAAGACTGGTCATTTTTGTCACATTTCTTTGCTGTACAGTTAATCCTCCTTACATTTCAATCCAAACAAATTCTTTCCTTTTGCTTTAAACCACAATGAATGTATTCTACACAGAAAAACACACACAGGGCCAGATTTTGCCCATGTGTTGTCCATTTGTGTGGCAGAACTGTGCAAAAAGCATTTGATGGTATAGATGATCAGTTTTCCAGCTAGTTTCCATCCCAGATTATCTTGCTCAAGGTGCAAACTGCAAGGACACCGAGCACATTCCTGGCTGAACTAAGCTCTGCCTGTGCGCAAGACTGGCTGCATGACCAGTCACGAGCCGCAGCGGCCAAAGTGACCTCAGCTCCAGGGCTCACTCCCCACGGCACATTGTTCCTGCTCCAGCCAAACGACTGCTGGCACAGTGCCTTCGGAGGATGGAGGCAGTGGTGGATGAATGGACTTTGGGGCTGCGGGCAGACAACAGCAGCAACAGTAGCTGGGGCGGCTGCATGCAAGTGCAAATACAGGTCACACACTGAACCTCCCCTTTCTTTCAAGCCCCAAAAAGACTGAAAGAGACTTGTCCAGGCAGCACTCCGGACCGTGGCGCCAGCAAGACCAACTCCACAAGTTAAGGCCTGGTCAGGGTTTGAGAAACTCGGGGCTGTCATTCATTTTGTGGCAAAACCAGCGGCAGGAAGCCATCAGGAGCCTTCGCAGTGTGCACAAGCCAAGCCAGTGGTTGGGCACTGAGTGGGGTGGGGACGGGCAGTTTCCTGAGATGCTGAAATTCAAATTAGTCAAAGATCTGAAGTAACCACTGCACATGTGGAGCATCAGCATCTGAAGCCCCATAACCATGCTCTCTAATTTAGTCCTTCTAAACTTCAACAGATCTGTATGCAATTAAAGGAGATTAGCCAAGAGCCATCCTAATCAACAACAGATTATTGGGAAAAGCTCAAAAGTATCAGTGCTGCACGCCCTTCCAGAGCAAATCACATTTCTTCTCCAGTGGAAAACACATTGCAGAAAATGTATGAACAGATCTGAATTTCTATAGACAAACTTACTATTTGATATCCAATATTTGAAAAAGTAAATAACCAACACCATTGAAATATACGATGCAGTTAAGATGAAGATTCCTGCTTTTTCCTCATTGAAAGTTTGAGTGTTTTCCTGAACCTAATCTAAAATCTTTTGGCTTTGTATGTTTCTAGAAGGAAAAAAATACTAGGAATAAAGTGATTACACAATTGTTATGAATAGTTAACTGGAAGTTAAATGTATCTTTAGGCAAACAAATCAGAATATAGGGACTAAAACATGCGTGTTTGACTCAAATCAGTCCCCTTAATCTGTTGTGGAATCAACAAGGAACTTTAACAATTTTTAACATTGGCCAAGAATTGCATACGTGTATTTCTACTTGCAAATGCTATTTATTATTTCACAAATGTGGAATAAATTAATCATTTGAACCTGTGTATTTGAGAAACTAAACTTACATGATCAATAATTTTAACAACCGACTTTTACACGATATTATAATAGATTTATGCTTTTACATCGCCCCAGATCAATCCAACGCTGGTGTCCATAAGTTCCGCTCCTGGACTTCAACATCAGACGTCCACATTACGCAAACATTTGCATTTTTTTTAACAGTAAGTTTGGATGAAGTTGTAAGCAGACACTCACCTTCCTCTCCAGCTGCACTGATCGCTTGAATATTGGCAAAACGATTCCCGACAGAGCGAGAGAAAGGACAGGAGCAGGAGCGGGCAGAGCATGGTGCGGTCCCGCGGCGACTACCTCCAAACTATGTACGATTCCTCCGCCAACGCCGCCTTTCCAGCCTCATATCGTTCACGTTTATCCCAGCTCAGGTCCAACACGAGCAAAGATCCTTCTGTTTTCGATAGTAGCGAATGGAAAAGTGCGCTTCTCCCGCTGCTTGACTCTTCCACAAACTCCGGAGAGCGTTGGAAGGCACTTGAGCTGCGTCTCTGTCCCTCCCACCGTCCGTGAAGTGCGCACCGCTGCTGCGTTCAGGGGCCCGCCCAAAGCTCAGAAAAGACAACCTCGCGAGAATAAAACTCCCCTTGACAAACACTGGCGCAATAACAGCTGTCGAGGAAAGTGTTGTTTCTGCTGTTATTTGTTCAGGCTACTGCTATCAAGTGAGTTTTCTTCTGTCAAGTGACCTGTGTGAGCTGCTAAACTGGGTCCATCAATGTCTAACACTATTTTTGTTTCTCTCCTGATGGTCCATGTTAAATAAATAAAACATAACTAGGCATACCTACTTGTTAAGCCTCAAGAATATCAGAAATGAATATTATTGTTTATTCAAATAGGGTAGTTATTACTACAGCCACAATGTTTTCTTGTATAGCCCTAAATCACAACAGTAGTTATCTCAAAGGACTTTACACAACTATTGTATTCTCACACAATACACACACACAGATCAGGGAGTCAAACAGTTGAAACATAGGAAATAGAACAAAAAACACATTGGTATTGTTTTAAAGGGGCAGATGAGTCCTGGATCATCACCAAATATCCTTTTGGTTAGTTTAATTCATATTTGTATTTATAAAAACACTTATGGTGGCGTTTCTGGATGTGGAAAATGAAAACATGTGTACGCTGTCTATACTTCACCTTGCTTGTATCTCCACAAACTTGACATGATTGTCCTGGAGGAAGGCTTCAAAGTCAAATATTACTTGATACTAAAATGGTGTAATAAGAATACTCATTTTACCGGCTCTCTGCTCCTGGTGCAGATGGCTCCTTGGATGGCGCTTCTTCAGCCGGTCACATCTGCTCCCAGCCCCATTTCTTTTTATTGTTTTACCTATTTTACCTGATATGACTTTATACTTGTATGTGTGTATCTGTGTGTGTGTGTGTGTATATGTGTGTGTGTGTATACGCATGGTTGTATATATAATTATAAATGTGGTTTTGGGGGGGTCTGTGGGGAGGAGGGTTTAGGGCTGGGCATGTTGGATTGTTTTTAACTAAACTGTAAAGCACTTTGTGTTACACTTTTTGTATGAAAAGCGCTTTATAAATAAAATTTGATTGATTGATTGATTGATATCTATCGGCCTAGAAGAAATAATTAACAGCTTTTGTCCCAAAAATAGAGCATTTTTAAAAATCACTATTGTGGTTTAAAAATGGTTCTTACTCTGAGTTTTCATTAGAGCTAAAACCAACTTTGAAACATTGTGCCTTTTGCTATATCATAGTTCAATTCATGATCAGAGTCACCTCTTGGCAAGAAGGTATTTGTTTTTGACTCTTTCTGAGAGGAGTTTGCATGTTTTCTCTGTGTCTGTGTAGGTTTTTCTTAAGCAAACATGTGTAGTAAATCTTTGAGCCTCTGGTATATTTACAGCAGTAGCTGTTCTTTAATATGCACTGTCCCACTCACATACATATTCCAGCGTTGCTTTGATATAGGTGCTAGATTGTCAAATAATTACCTCTTTAAAAAATAAGAATGGTCCTCATGGCCAATGAAGTAGCTTATTGTTTGTCTGTTGGAGCCATAAAGAGTCGGGTGATACACCTTGGGCATGGGTATGATATTTATTGACTCTGTACTGCAATATACTGCAATTTTTGTTATTATACAAAAGGTTTATCTTATTTTAAATGCATACATTTGCATATAGAATGGTTTTCTGAGGGACAAATAGAGGAGATGGATCATGCTGCTGGTGATGGATTGACCCTAAACATTGAAGGATAGGGTTCTCAAATAACATATTTTTAAATTTCACCTATGACAGATACTGCAATTGCAGAAAAAAAAGGATTGGGTTAGGGGTAACTAACCCAACCATACCCCTGTTTTCAGTAATAATATATCCCATCATCCGAAAGAGATGGAAGTATCGTAAATCACCTGATTGTGGTTAGAGCCTACATAATATAATGCAGTGCAGTTATGATGTGGGTGACAGCCTGTGAAAGCAAATATTATTAGTCTCCCATGCATTTATGTGACATTGTGCAATCAAATGTCAGTGCCATCCCACGACAAGTGGACCCAACATTTGTTTTGTTGAATGAAAGCTGCAGGGACTTGTTCAGCACAGGTCCGTTACTACACGGTGTATCTGTAAACAGGCTCCTGATCCTGGGAGGCACTATTATGAAACCTGGTGCAGATCGTGCTTGACTTTGGATTGGAAACTCGTTTGACAAGGAAAACCAGAGCTGTGTGTAACTGCTACTTTCCCTCTCCACTTTCTGAGGATATGGATTTTGGATGCTGTTTTTTTCTGGATATGAGACCTGGCAGAGAGTGGGCGTAATCATCTCACAGTGGGACGCTTGCCACTACACAGCCTCAATACATCGATTCACATTTTGGTTATGTTTTGTACATTTCCGAATCTTAATTTACTATTGAGCAACATATCATGGTATCGTTTGAGTAAACTACAGTATTTTGAGTCTCTGTATAGTTCCTGCTGCAGTACACGTCATCTGAGTTACTACAAATACAACGAAAAGAGCCACAAAACGTGTCCCAGCACGATGCTATGATCCATCACACTGACACACACTGTCAACACTGGAGCTCTACAACCCTGTTTCCACTGCTGTGTTAAGAAATGAACAACCGTAAATTACACTTTTAATACAATCACAACCAAGGTCAATATTTGGCTTTTATTCACAGCCATGTGCTTCAAAGCTGTTTTCCAATGTGTTAAAAGATGGACGGTATGTTATTATCTCTAAGAAGGTTCATAATTACTTTGCTTTGAATGTCCCACAGGATCCCATTCAGTATAGCATTTATTTCATTACAAAACATGTGTTCTTATTGTAAGCAGAATCTTTTCTCCATATCTGAACTGCTTATCATCAATGTCATTTCCTTAATGTGGAGAGCAAAAACATCACAAGGGCAATGTTGCAGACGCACCATAGAAAATAGGGCCGGATTTTCAAAGCATGAAAAATGGAAATGGTAATAAAATGGTAAGTATCTCTCAAAGCAGAGTTGTTTTCACATGCATGTATCTTTTGGCCTTTGCCACATCTTTAAATTCGCTTTTTCAGATAAAAAAAAGAGTGGAGAAAGGACCACAGCTTTGCCTCTTAGTGTCTAAAAGTGACTCAAAAAGTTCTTTCTTACGAATATGTAAAATATGTTTTCTAATATGCAGTAAAGCATAATGAGCATCTCTGGTTTGTTTTGTTCACAAGATGTTACCCGTAATTAATATGTATTATCAATGGTTAAAAAAACTACTTTATTGTTGCCTATGCCAATTTATTTCAGTTTCATTCTCAGAGCAATAGCCGGTTGCCTTCTTTTTCAGTACAATAGAAGCCTTTTTAATTCTTTGTTAAATGCCACTGGCCCCAAACCTAACATTCATCAGTTTTAAAGTGATTAGTGTAAGTTGGTAATGAGCACCTGGAACAGAGAGTCTTTTCTTTTCCCCAGAGGGACAAATCTCCTGTACTTTTTGTTCCAGTTTCCTGATTACTGGCAGCCATGTGTTTGTTTTTTTTCCTCAAATCTTCCAACAAGAACTCCCCCTCTTTCCAATCTTTTTTTTCTCCACCTGTTTCAAGCATAAAGCAAGATTTGGACACAAGAATGACAGGCTGAGGGAAATAGATCATCTCCTGCCAGTACTGTCAATTTTCCAGATGAATACTTACCGTGTGACTTGGTGAGGTTGAACTCGGTGAACACATGGTATCCCCTTTCAAAAGACAAATGTGGGTTTGAGGAGCTAAATAAAAGTTGTATTTTACTGAGGGGAGGGAGACATTACTTTTTACAGCCAGCCTTTCTGTCACCTACTCAGCAACTTGCTTTAAAGTCTTTGGTCTAAATCCAGGTGTATAAGCTACAGACCAGTGATGACAGGATGGGATTTTATGATTGTTTGTCAGTTTCATGCACATGTGAGTTTACTGGAATTTATGGATGTCTATTTGTCCCATTGGGTAAACTGGATTGATTGGTCATAATGTACACATGTAGACGTTTAGACTTTACAAATGCCATACTACAATGCCAACGTAGTGTGTGGGATCCAGTTATGGTGACCCCTAAACATATGACCTCTATTCAATCCCCTGTCACATGGTTCCATTGATTCTACATGAATTAGAAATGTTTAGATAAGAAAGAAAAAAGTCTTGGTTTTTATTCTCCTAACAGCGCTTGGGCTTCACAGCAAGAAGATTCTGTGTTCGGTTCCACCTCCAGGCCTTTTTGTGTGGGGTTTGCATGTTCTCCCTGTGTCTGCATAGTTTTCCTCCGGGTACTCCAGTTTCCCCCTACCTCTAAAAACATGAACAATAGTTAAGGGTGAATGAGAGTATGTTTGTGAGTGCGGCTGTCGGATGTTCCGGGCTACAAACCGGAGAGGTGTGTTCATTAACATGCCCTGTCTCAAATAAACAATAAATAAATGAATGCTACAACAAAAAAGATTAAGTTACATCATGAGCCTAAACATTGATGCCCCACTGTCTTTTTCTACAGTTTGAAGTTGTCGCCATGAATCCAGTGTTGTTACAGGTAATCAGTAAATCTGTTTAAAGTGCCCTGTGACTTTGGCTTTGAAGACTTCACACCTCCAGGTAACACAGTGATTAGAAGTCAACACTTGTAAATCACAAAAGATGTTTTATGATATTCCTTTTCCACTAACATTATTATTATCATTATTGACCTTCCATGTTTGCTTACATCTCCTGTGTCTGAAGTTACATTTCAACATTACTTCACTCT